CAAGAACCTACAACCTAGATTACTTTACCCAGCAAAGCTATCATTCAGAATTGAAGGTCAGATAAAGAGCTTCACAGATAAGAAAAAGCTAAAGGAGTTCATCACCACCATACCAGTATTATATGAAATGCTGAAAGGTATCCTTTAAGAAGAGGAAGAAGAAAAAGGTAAAGATACAAATTATGAACAAATACACATCTATCAACAAGTGAATCTAAAAATCAAGTGAATAAATAATTTGATGAATGGAGGCTTGTTGTGACGGAGTGACCACTAACTACTGCAGCTGCTTCCGCGGCACCCAAACACTGTCCAGGTTCCCACTGTTTTTCGGTTTTAGTTTTTAAAAAACTTATGATTTCAGATTTGTTTCATGAAACATTCAGAAGTGTGTATTTAAAATCTTGTAAATGTATAGGCTTTGAAAATTATCTTTTAAAAAAATTTTATTACATTGTGGTCAGCAATCTTCATTTGCATGGTTGACCCTGGGAATCACTCAGACACAGCATGTTAGGAAAGCTCTGTGCCCCACCCCATCATGCCTTGTGCACCCAGGAGACAGGGGCGTGCAGTGCCCTTCTGGTTAATAAACATTTCACAAGCACTTATACTTTAGAAAATGTTTATTCAAATATTACTCGAGCAATTATCATCAAGTAAGAAAATCACTTCACAAAGCAAACAACTTAGAGCATCCTTTTTATTGGTTCTGCAGAGCATGGTCTGCAGTTCAGGAATCTTGACAGAATCTTTTTTTACAAATAACATTTGCAGGAACATTTTATGATGTCAGAAAACCGAACAGCATGGTTATAGTTGAGTTGCCACAAAACTCTGCCCAGAACTGATATTCTTGTTGAGACCCTGGGTGGTGGTGGGGGGGGCACCTTATCTGCCCAGCAGGAGGGAGCAGCACTCCCCGTGTGGGTGTGGGGCTGATAGGCTTCGGGCAGCAGCTCAACTCAGGGCAGCCAGGCCCAGGCCTGAACGGGTGCTGCGGTCACAGGAGGAGAGGCCCTCCCGCTGGGAAGCTCAGCAACTCACAGTGGAAGAAAGAAATGGGCGGGAGCTTAAACGGAGCAGGGGCAGGCAGCGTCTGCTTGGACGGGGCACTGATGTGCCTTTGCACCTGGGTTTTGGCGGTACGTGTTCCATAAACGCTCAGGAAGACTATTTTCACTGAGTTCAGGGCCATGCGTGCCCAGTAGATGAATTTTATTTTTTTATTCAAATATGCTAAGTCTTTATTAGAGGAATCTTATTTTGTGGTTCAAATATACTATATCCTTCAAAATATTTATCTTTCAGTATTGATCACAGAGAACTCTGCTACTGTGGTTATTGGTTCGTCAAGGTCACTGGCTCCGCGCGCTGCAGCTCGGCGCTGCTCGATGCCACCGATGCCACCGGGGTGGCTCTCACAGAGGCGGCTCCCTCCTCTCGCTGGGAACACTGCGCAGCAGAGCGTGCCTTTGTGACAGGGCTGCCCAACCCCCCGGTCGCGGCTTCTGTGCGGGAGCCCGACGCTGCGCCTGGTGCTTGGCTTCTTGTGCCTCCAGTCAGGTCCAAGTTCAGAAGAGGAGGCGAGGCGGGGCTGGGCCCTCCTGCTGGGGAGGACTCTGCTGTCCTCCTGAACAGGCACTGAGTCCTCACACCTCCGCTCAGGGCTCTGCAGCCTTTCTTCCCTCGCACACTGGCTCTAAGCGGCCCCCTCCCGGGCCCCTTCATCACCTCCTCAGAGCCCGCTCTTGCTCATCATGAGACCACGCTCACTGAACTGGTCTCTCTGTCTCAGCCAGTGGTTCTCAACCTTGGCTGCACATTAGAATCACCTGGGAATCTTTTTTTTTAAAATTTTTATTTATTTATTTTTAATATATTTTTATTCATTTCAGAGAGGAAGGGAGAGGGAGAGAGAGAAACATCAATGATGAGAGGGAATCATTGACTGGCTGCCTCCTGCACGCCCCCTATTGGGGATGGAGCCCGCAACCTGGGCATGTGCCCTTGACCGGAATCGAACCCGGGACCCTTCAGTTCGCAGACAGACACTCTATCCACTGAGACAAACCAGTTAGGTCCTCGCTGTCATTTTAGAGGAAACAGACAAACACATGTACTCAACCCACTATCTTTCGCCGGACATGACTCTTGAGTACACCGCACACAATCTTATGATTTAAATAGTATTAGTCCTATTTCACACGGGAAAGAGAGGCCCAGAGAAGCTAAGCTGCTTGACCAAAGTCATCCAGTCAGCACACTACAGAGCTGTAGTTTAAATCCGTTGTCTGAGGCCCATTACTATTATTCACGTATTAGAGATTTAGAAAATTAAGGCCTAGAAGAGTTATGTGTTCACCAAGATGGCAAGGCAGGCAGGCAGCATTCGATGTGAATCCGACTACGTGACTTCAAAGCCCATTTCTCTCTAGGGCACCTCACTGCCCACCGTAAGGGCCGCCCAACGCAACCACTCTACCAGGGCTCCAGAACATACTCCGGGCCCAAGGACTGCCTCTGAGAATGTATACATTGTGTGCTTCCTATTTTTCTTAAAACCAGCATGTGTAATCCGGCACTGCCTGGGGCGGCAGGGTCTGCACCTGCATCTGTGTTTGCGAGCTCCTGCTGCCAGAAGTGCTGCTCGGTGAGCAGAGGCCAAGGAGAAGGGAGCCTGGTCACACCCCGGGCAGCCACGTGGAGCCAGGCTCTGACCTGAGAACATGGGGGACGGGTCAGGTCGCCCCCATCAAGTGAACCTCGTCTAGCCGCCCTCAAAGGGCACTGGGCCAGCAACAGCCACCACCTCATTGCAAGTAGCCTCGCATGTCAGCAACAGCTCCAAGAGCACGAAACGCTCCCTGGAGCCTCACTGTAACAGCCATTCGTTTTAGCTTCTTGTTTTGGTTTTCGATGGGTAAGTAAGAGCTATAAGCTGAGGGCTTACATCCTGTCTCATGTGGGTATAAATAACAGTAAAAATGGCTCGGCAACATGGGGCCGGGAGGCTGTTAGGCTGTGACTTCAGCTTCCTTGCAGGGTCCGTTTGAAAACGGGCGACCCTGACCACGGGCTGACAGCCGCAAGCACCTGCTGACCCGGCCAGGCCCGGCGGGACAGGGACCAGCTGCGGACAGCCTCCGGGCCTGTCTCCTCGTCTCCCACCGTCACCCTCCAACACTGTGGACCGGGTCTTCCCTCGTAGCTGGCGAGCAGCCGGGGGGAGAGCGGCCCCCGGACTGCGCGCACCAGCGCGGGAGGGAGAAGGAATCATGGACCGGCTGCCTCCTGCACGCCCCCTGTTGGGGATGGAGCCCCTGTTGGGGATGGAGCCCCCTATTAGGGACGCGCACCAGGGAGGGGGCCACGCCTGCGGGAGGCGCAGGAAAAGGAGGGCGAGGGGG